TATTTATTAAGGATTTTTATGTACCTATATTATCTCCTTTGTTGGCTTATTAGACACAAACTCCATATATTATTTTATTGCTTCTTTTGGGTATATAGTATATGTCCTTAGTGTATATAGGTTAACTTAACATAATATTATTCCATTTTTACTATATATCATGCAAGAAACTTACAAATCTATTCTTCTGTTTTCTAGTGAATAGATCCAATGAAATGGGAATTTTTATTTTTTAGTATTTGTTTTTCAATCCTAGGAAAGACCCTAAGCAACCCACTTGGTTATATACCCATCCTTTGTCTAAACAGAGCACCGGGCCTTGAAAATTTGGTCAGTATGGTTTTCTGCAGTAGCCCTTCTAGAACTTCATAGAGTTGGGAAGGAATTCACTAGAATTCAAAAAGAATTTAAAAGTATGCTAATTAGCCAGAAATTACAACTAACATTGACCACTATTGGCATAATCAGAGAGAAGGGATTACAGGTTGGCAGATAGAAAACTTACACATACTTCTTAGAAATCCTCAGTGTATCTTGCTGACAGTCCTGCACTTAACCATACAAAGCAGGAGCAAATGATGTGTTTCTCTGCATGGCGTGTACCTTCCCCTCGTATCCTCCAAGGCACTCAGCCTCTGCTGATACTCTGTGGAGCTGGAGAAGGAGGCAGATATCCCGGCTTCTTCTTTATATTTGACTCATCAGCATTTCAGAAAATTTACCAAAAATCTCAACACTTCTATGTAAATTAACATTTCTCAACCTTGACACCAAGTCCATATTTTAGAATAGATAATAGGGCTTAGCTGTATAATGTTTTTACAGCATACCTGGGCTCTATCTTTTAGACATCAACAACACACCCTAGACCCCAAAGTTGGCAGTCAGAAATTTCTCCAGATTATGTCACATGTCCCCAGGAAGAGCAGACTTACTTCTGATTGAGAACACTGGTTGAAGGGAATGTTTGCAAACATCAAATTCTACAGATTTGTGATGCCAAACCAGTATCAGCTGATGGGGAGAAAGCAACATTGCCATCAGATGTCGGTGAATCCCTGGCTCACTGCGGTTGCAAATTCAGTACCAGACTGGGAGAACAGTGTACAACTCAGAGCCAAGACAGATGTTATAAGAAAAAGTGGATGGATGGCTGGATGGATGGAGTGATGGATAGGTAGATGAATGAAAGAAATACGTGACGATTGCTCAGGTTGTGTAACTTTGAGGAGAGTAGTGATGTTGGGGTGCATACATGGGAAAAGGGGATATTTTACCAATTTACTTGAGTTTTATTATTTTTTAAAATATTTCATTTATTATTTGTATTTTTATATGTATGAGTGTTATGCCTGCATGTAAGTTAAGTGCACCCGTGTCATACAGTGCCCACGGAGGACAGTAGAGGCTGTTGGATCCCCTGGAACTGGAGTTACAGACAGTTGTTAGCTGCCATGTGGGTGCTGGGATTCGAACCCAGGTCTTCTGCAAGAACAGTGTTCTTAACCTCTGAGCCATCTCTCTAGCCCCTATCATTTTATTTTTTATAAGTAAATTTATTTACTTTTTTAACTTTAAAAAAAATATTGAGACTTTCATACATGCCTATAAGGTGTTTTGATCAAATCCAAGAAATTCATTTAC